TTTTACTTCTGCTTAAAATACTTGAAGGAAATAATCCTCATCATGGGCTAAATGCTGTGTGACATCTGAAAGCTTCAGCTGACAGCACTGATTACAAAGGGAGGCACTGAGAGAGCGTTCCAGCCTGCAAAAGAAGTAAGTATGGAGAAATAAGATTATTTAAGCCAGATTTAATTTTTCTGCAGGATATGGCTTTGTGCTGTAAGTTTAATGATGAAGTACGTTCTTAGTCATTTGACAAACCTTTTGGATATGAGACCATGAACCATTGATATCTTGATTATAAACTTCTGATGTAATAGCTTTCAATAACTTCCACCTAGAAAGGAGAGTACACCTCTGTTTAGTCTCTTTTCTTATACCATTACATCTCCTTCTAGCTTAAAAATAGGCAGAAAGTCTGGTTTCTATAAGCAACTAGTTGTCACTATAACAGGTACAGTTACTAGTAACTACATTTACAAGCAACAACTATAAAAGCAATTTTTTCCTTACTTATTTCTATTCTCTACTGTAGGAGAGGTTTAAACCTATCATCCCAGCCAGCTGCAGTATGGCAGTGAGTAAAGATGTTGGAGTAAAAAGAGCAAAATACTAGCCTACAAGTCTGTGAGGCAGCAGCAAGGCTTTTTCTGTGTTTCTGTACAACGTAGCGTAGTAAGGGCTTGCTCCTCACTAGAGTTTCTAGGCACTCCCCAGACATGTTTTTAGAAAGTGCTGCTGCTATAATCTGCTCATGCTCTAACAGCAGTGGTGCCGTTTTTGAACTCTTCTACCATTTATATGCAGCTCTTACTTTGAAGGAGGGAAATAACATGTATGGATGTTAGAATTTGTGGAGCAAAGAAAACAGCCATGTGAAAAGTTTGAATATCCTTATTTTGCAGAATAATTAAGAGCCTTCCTGGGGCTTTTCGGGTGCTTATTTTGAGCCAGTCGAATTAGAAAGCATATCTAGAAAATCTTTAGGTTGAGCTGTGGGTCAGGTAACTCCACTTATGTAAAAGCAAAAGAGAAAATAATTAGTAAAGCTGGCTGGGATGATTTAGGGTTCTTGGATTTCTCTGCAAACACTGTGTGGAGCTTGTGCTGGAGATGATTGATAGCTCCAGCCTGGAGGAGGTTGCTGGGCTTGTTACCAGCTCATGAGTATTTTATCATCATGGCCAAGTGTGGAAGGGTGCTGGGAGCTATAGCCTGTCATTCTCACCTCCCTGCTTGCTCACAGGACGAGTACAAGGAGCCAGGGTTGTTTCTGGGCCTCATCACTTTAGTTGCACAAAATTGAGTCCTTGGGATGATGGATTTTGCTGCAGCCTTCCCCTGGGTGTGGACAGACTGTTGGGGCTGTGCTGGATGTGAGCACTCCCTCAAAAACAAGGTGTTTCATTATGTTGAAGTGTGGGAAAGGGGGAAAACTACAACAGTGGGAAAAGCTGTTAACTCTTGTACCTTTCTGCCTTTGAAGCTGAGAGTGTGTGAAAATAGTCTTGTATTAAGAGCTAATCTGAAAGCATCAATATATGGCTCATATTAGGATTTCTTATATGAAGGGGAGTGACATTCATAGTTGTCCCCCTGCTACCAGCCCTTGGAATATGTCATGAGGCTCCTACAGAAAAGCTTAGAAAATGAAGGTGAATTTCTGTGCTTTTCAAACACTGAACAAGTGAATTACCCAGACTCCTGTGGTGTTTAATGGAGGAGCAGGAGCACCCAGTGCTCTCCCGTGCATTAAGTATTATCAAAGGAACAAACCAGATCACTCTGCTACTGGTGATCAGAAGGAAACCTTGCAATGCAGTGTTAGGGAGACAATGCAGCAATGACTTTGCACATGGAAACACACACTGGAATCACAGCAGTAATATAGTAGCTTGATTGCAGCACTGGAACTTGACTGGATTTGCCACCATGGGGTCCTTTTGGAGGCAAAAAAAAAAAAAAGGCTATAAACATACAGCTACAAAACAGGAAAGCACATTATGTGAAGCTGTAACATGTTCTGATGTAAATTCAGTGCAATGTTTGAAACTGAATTAACAAAAAAACCCTCTAAGTCTGGGAATAAAATTGAAGTGATATCACGTTGTCCTGAGGGAAACCAAAGTGACAGTAAAAAAATAAGAAGAGTCTTGGGGACTCTGCTTCTACAGTGCACAGTGGGACTGGCCAGCAGGGTTTCATGTCAGATCAAATTAGAGTGTGAGATTCTGCACCACTTTTCTGTTTTTGCTGTTTCTGTGGCCATCAGAGGAAAGTGTGCTGTCCTGTTCTGTGTGTAAGGAAACTGCAGTGGGAGCTCCAGGGCCAGGAATGGGGTGAGCAAGAATAGACTCTGCTTTCATGGCTTGCTGCTGGATGCTCACATGGGTGCTTCAGTAAAAATCAAAGTTCTAGTTCCCAGGGAACAGCTGTGATTTTTGCATGAAAATCACTGTGTGAAGTGCACTTGGATGCCCACCTCTTCCATCCTTGCCAGAAAAAAAGCTAGAATTTACTTACTGTCAAATATTGCAGTGTAGAAGCCCAGGAGTGACTTTCAGGTGTTGAAATAGAATTTTATATTAGCAGACTTGAGTTCAGGGTCAAACCCCAGAAGAAATGGCTGGGACTTCAGAGACATCTTTTCTTCATGTTGTCTATTGCTTGGTGCAGTTCTGAATCATAGCTAGTGTGCTGGCTCTAGAAATTACTAGAAGATTAAGAGAAATGTAAATGTTAAAATCAGCACTTGGATTGTGAGACCCATTCCTGGAGACTCAAAATAAGGTCATCCAAACCTAAGGAGCCCCTTTGTAATTTTGCACCTTCTCCTCTTTCTACCCCCAAACCACAGCAATATAGTGGTTAGCTTGAAGTGGGAATGATTTAAAAAAAAAAAAAAAAAGGTTTGGTTTTCCTTGTGGAACAGAGGATCCAGCAGCCACCTTTTGAATTGAGTGTGTATCTCTGTTACTGTCTACCCAGAAAACCTTCTGTGGATGTTCTCAGATGCCCAGTGATCTAGAAAGTGTGTACTGATTCTCATGCAATGAAATTTTGCGGATCCTTTTCTTGCAAAAATAAGAAAGGAGGATGGGGGAGGAGGCATCTTTTGTCTCAGCACTGATTTGAAATGGGATGCTTCAAAATTCTTTTCTTTCCCCATAGATAGGGAGTTCCATTTTTTTCTCTATTCTAAACAATGAGATTGTCTTAAACTTTTAGATTTGCTAGGAAGACAAAGGCACTGAAAGCTTTGAAATGCTCGAATATTACAGCAGCAAGGTCTTAGAAACTTCAGAAGACTTTATATGGTATATGGGATAGCAGCTATTCTCTCACTAGATTAAAAATGCAGGTGTTGGAGTACTGGTTGCTGCTGCCTAAAATCTTTCCCCCACAAGCCTCTCCTGTGGAAAAACAAGTTGGGATAACCTTCAGGCAATGCAGTCAGACCCTCACTCAACACTCACCACAGCTGGCTCAGTGTTAGAGGCAAGAAAGGCTCTTTTTGCAGGGTTTTATTTCAGTGACGGCTATCACATGTGGCTGAAGGGAATCGGGGTGGGGGATGGAGCTAAGGCTGGGCAGAGGGGTTTGATCTCCAGGGGAAGGGGTGGCCACCAGGGATACGGATCCAGTGAGAGGTCAGGGAAAGGAGAAAGCAGGGGAAGTTACACAGGGGAAGTTGCGGCACAGAAGTCCAAACAAGAGCCTGTTTTTCTCCAAGGAGGACTGAATCTATGGTGAGTAGTTACTGCTGTTGTCAGGGCCGAGGACTTGGGAATTGACCAAGGTGGGAGAGTTCATGGGATGCTACACACTACTAAAAAAGAAAAGCAGCTGACTTGGTGATATATTTCTGTGCTTGAAATGAATGTTCCCATAATCACATTGTGATTCCATTAGTAGAGTTTGTGACTGTTGTTCATTCATTCTAGTATAGGAGCCTGGCTTAAATTTTGTGATATATGATCATCTCTTCAAATCAGAATGCAATTAGCTCACTAAAATAGTTTAAATTCTGTCTGTCTCTAATAATAAAGTGTATCAGATGAGATGAATTTGAAAGCCTGCTGTTCCCCTTGTAATACACCTCCTTCTTTCCATATGCCTGCCTCCTCCTCCTCCAGAAAAAACATGCAGTTTAATTTACATTCTATTTAAGCTTGGGGAGAATTCTTCCTTGGAACACAATTATCCTTGGTACTGGCTTTGTGGGAGAGCCGTAGGTATTTAGCTACAAGATAAGGTGTCTTGTCATGGAGTGGAACACCTACTATTTTAAGACTAAAAAAAATTATGGCTGGAGAATTTGTAGACTTTTGGCAAGGTATGACTTGGTGCTAGTGTGGGAGGAATCACTTGTTGTTTTGGTGTTGTGGTAGTTTCTCAGGAGCAGTGGAGACCCCACAGCCAGCTGGCCCTGGCTGTGTCCTGCAGGATCTCATCCCCAGCATCTCCTCCCCGGGTTCTCATCCCAGGCTGTGCCAGGCTTCTTCTCCTGGGCAAACCGAGGCTGTGGTGAAGGCCAGTGTGTCACACAGTGTCCCCAAGACTCAGGACTGATGGGCAACCAGGCAGCAAAGCAGTGCTGTGAGCACAAGGAACTACAGCTGCTGCAACAGTGACAAGGCAAGAATGGAACCTCAATCTATGATTTTATATTTTATTGCTGTCTTTTTCCTTTGCTCCTGAATTAAGAGCTGCATCAGACAACTTAGGAAAAATAGTCCTGCCCTAAAGGCTTTGAGAGTTGTTAAGTGGCTGTGGAGCCGCTATTAGAGAATGGTACTTACATGTAAAAAAGCAATTGAAATTCTGACATTCAGATCCTCAGCTCTGAAGATCCAGCTACTTTAAAACTTGACTTACAAACTCAGTTATCTGTTAAATGAAAATCACTCATGTTCTAAAGTTGAGTGCTGCTTCCTTGCCCAGAAAATCAAATTTGTTTTAAATTATGATGATCCTTATTTTTTAAAGGAAATACAGTACTTAAAATTCTGTGTGCAACAACTGAAGCATTTTGAGGATAAATAGAAAACTTAGAAAAAACATCAGTATGTTTTGTTTACCACTTTAATTTGTTTGTTGTTCAATGTGCAGGCTTTTTTCTTTTTAAATCTTTGCAGTAAGAACAGAATTTGTTCTGCTTCTCTAAAGAGGGATTTTTATTGCAATTTTCCCCCTGTAGCACTTGTTTATGTGGCAGAGAAAACAACGGCAAATGAGCAAGAAAGAGAAATTTCTTTTCTTTAGAGATAGATTGGAATAGCGAAGGCATTTTCTACCTGAAGTGTATATTTTCTAGGATGTTTACTAACAGCAATAGCTGTTCTGCAGAACTCTCCAGAGATCTGGGCATCCATAGGACTGGCAGCAGTAATATTTTTTCATGACATCGTGGCATCTACGAGGAGAACAGAAAAAACAGAGACATGAATGATAGGGAAGCAGTTGGGATCTCTAGGAGATGACATTGCTGCTGAAGATGTGCTCCCAGGTGGTGATCAGGCAATGTGAGCATGAAAGATCCTCCAGGGTTTCTCTCTGAAGCCTGGCCTCTAATTGAGATATATTGGCATAGGGAAGTTGTGTAAATAGGGCCTATAAATCTTCAGAGGAGTCTGGAATAAGAGTTTTCCTTAGGATTTATCTCAGGTTGTTTTCTTTGACTGTCAGCAGTGTTAAATGTATTTGGCCCTGTACTGAGCTCTGATGGGCACAAAATGCATGGATAGGACTGTCAAAAAAGTGAAAATAGAGAGTGGTTAAAAAAGTAACATGTGTTTATTATTACTAAACTCATTACTTACTGCTTCTCATTTTCATGGATTTTCAATTCCAGGATAATTGAAAGGTACAACTTACAAACTTCTCCAATCAGAGGCCCAGCAAGTATTTTTGTCACCAAAATGTTTCTTCAGCATAATAGAAGAGCAATGACTGTTGCTGAAGAGTGCCATACACATGGCAGAATACAAGGATAAACTTCCTATGGATTCAGGTAATGGCATGAAGGACTATGGCTATGGCTTTTTGTGGGGAAATCTGATCTTGTCAAGTTTGGCTCCACTTGAGTGTTTAGTCTCATAGTAGTGACCTGTATTTTCTTCCTACACTTTGATTATATTTACTAGCTTTCTCTTTGACATTTTCCCCTTTTCACTGTAAGAAGAGTACTGGTGAGTTCTGGCTTTAACAGATCATTTAAAATCTGATGAAAAAGACTCTACATGTACAACCTGTTATGTAACTTTCCAAGGAAGGCGTCCGTGTAGCTCCACTGGTACTGGTGTTCCCTGGGCAGAAGGGAGAGAGGGAAGTGCCATGGCTTCATTTCCCAACCTGCAGCATCAGGGGAACATCCTGCATCCCTCTGCTTATGTTCTGTCATGCTCCCACATACTGGGACACTTGTGGCTGCTGATTGTTTTTTTTCTCAATTGAGTAGGATACTGTAAATAGAGATTGTATTTTGATCTACACTGTTTGCTTAGTCATGGAATTACCAGCTATTTTGGAGGATTTCTAAATATATATTAATATTGATGGTTAATTAAAAATAGTATTTAACACTTTTCAGCAAAGTAGTACTGCATTATTTAGGGTTTAATTTTGCATTCTGAACTAGTGAATGCTCATGTATTAATAATGCTTTATAAGTATTTTTGAATTTCCAGTTGCTTCACAGTTTGTATTCAGCCCCACAGGGAGCAGGAATGGGGGGGGGGTGGGACAATAAAGCACTTGCCTTTTGTTGCTTTTTATTTATTGCAATAAGTGTTCATTTTTCTCCTGTTTTAAAATCAAACTTTTCTTTATTAGACCATCATTAGCATTGCTGAGAAACCGCTCTCCTCTGGCAGTACAGACTCATTCCAAGCAGGAGTGACCAATGCAGCACCCAGGCAAAGGTAATTGGAGTAGGTAGGCTTCCGTAGGCTCTATATATAACTGATTTTCCACAGAGATGGAAAATTAATAGCTTTGTCTCTAAGAGGTAAAACTTACCCATTTAAGTTAAAGGTAATTATTATACTACACATCTGAGCCACCTGATGTCCCATGGGAAAAACTAAATGCCATTATAGTATGCTAATCACAACTGGTAGCTGGTGGCTCTGGACTTTCTGTAGTGAGCTGAACACTTCAGGCATGGCATAATTGGAGAATGACTCTTAAAGTTTCCCAAGCTGGCCGGTAGCAAAATCCCCTGAGCCTGTTGTGCTGTGTGGGAGAGGCTTCAGATAACACTAAAGAGCTTGTAAATGGGATTCTAATTGGTACTCATGAGAGGTATATCCCAGGGTTTTTTTCCAAACCCACTCTTTTTCTGAATAGGAAATTCCTTTCCATTGATCATCCTTTGAACACATGGGATGGGGAACTAGGAGCTTGTGTTCAGAAATACTATATATGTTGTTTTGATGGCAGTTCTTGACGACACTGGAAAGAACAATCTACCCATGTGGTGATGAATGTTAATAAACAGATGGGATCCTAATTGTCTCAGACTCTATAGAAACAGATAATAACAATCCTGTAGAAAAGAATCTCTATAATCCCTTTCACATTAATACCAGACTGGTATTTAGCTTGCAGTGATCTGGGTGAACCTCAAATGCCTGGGAGTTTCTGGGTCATTTGTCTGGATTAACCAGACTTTCAACCTTTTAATAGGTTCTTGAAATTTCATGTTATGAAAAATCATTTAAAAGTACTATAGAACTGTGTTTTTTAAACACAGACTGGTTTTTCCATTTAAATATCAGAGAAATTTTCTCTAGAGCTGCAGGTTCAAGTTCTCCTTCCTTTTCGGACAAACCAAAATCTTCCCAACTTGTAAGTGTTCCTGTTGGGTGCTGAGAGCTGCAGGTGCAGGGATGGCCCTTTGTCACTTTTACATCAGCATGTGGGGTCAGGCATCACTCTTCTATTCCCTCTTTCATTACCTTGTGAGAACTGAACAACCTTGCTCACCTTGAGCATACGGAGAGATGTGGGAAATAAGGATTTTCTCACACATTCCAGGTGCTATGAGAGTTAAGAACAAGGAGATACCCAGCATGAATGGCATTGGAAGGCATGGCAGGAATAGGGAAGGCTTTCTCCTTGCCTTCTTTTTTGTCTGAGAATTAATTTTTGTTATCTCAGACAAAAAACAAATGGTCAGTATTTGCTAGCTCACTCAAGATTTTTACCTCTAAAACCAGAGAGCCTGGATCTTGTCCCTGAACATCACAATCCCAAATGAAGGACTAAATCCAAATTTCTTTGAGCTTAGCTTGTATTTCCCAGCGTTTCAAAGGAGTGGGCAGCTCCTTTGTCAACATTTTTGCTAACCAAAATAATCTGTGTACAATATGAAGACAGCCTTAGCACCAAGCCAAATGGGTCTGCAACAGACTTTACTTAGCATATACCTGGATTCCAAGTACTACATTGGGAATGTGTTATAAATACTTTGCCAACTAGCTGGTTAAGGCAATTTTAGTGTTTTTTGCTGTGTAAGAAGTACAAAGGATTTACATAAATAATAGAAAGTCTGTCAACCTTTACAGGAGTCCTGTAGTGCCTGGTTGTAAAGTCTTTCTGAGTGCCTCTGAACGTGCTGTTCTCTCTCCTCAGTTCCTCCCTCTCACTGATCTAAGGGAAAATCTCATTGTAAAGTGACCTTCTGTCCAAGTGGATAAATGTTCGCTGAAACTGGGTTTCAGGCTCTTTATCCTCTAATTAGAAGCTCTCAGGAAAGCCAGAAAGTCATTCTGTGGCTAAAATCTGGGGTGGAAGCGGTAGGGAAAGGAAGACCATTCTTTTTTCTGTCCAGTGAAACTTTTGGCACCTTGTTACAAGCTGACACATCCTACAATAAGGTTTTCAGAAACATCCTTGTATCATTCTTGTCAGGTTTAGCTGACACTTTTTTTAAAAAAGCTGTTCTAGGAGCAGAAAGCATATCCATTCACTTCCCTGACATTGAAGGCTCTCTGAAGGCAGGCTGGAGTAGCACTTCCTGCTTGGGCTAGGAGAAATGTCTTGCTGTTGATCTGTACTTCAAGGTTTCCTACTCAAATGAGAAACTTCACTGACACATACTTTTTACTTGGAAAGTGAAGAAAATCTTATTGCTTAGGCGGCATCATCCTGTGTCTTTAGAAATGTGCTCTTGGCAAGCTGTTTGAGGCAAAAGGGCAACATTACTTACAATGAGAAGTAATAAAGAACATACTAAACATTTGCCAGGTAAATGATAATGCATTTATATTCATCCAGCTGAAATTGTCACCATAGATTTGATAATGAAAAGTATTATTGTCTCACTTTATCTAACTGAAGTACTGTATATTTGGATGGATTTAAATAGCTTTCATTGCATTTTATGTGCACCTGCCTTTTGATATGGCAGATAAAATAACTGAGAAGAACTTTTTTATTTTTTTTGTTTATGTCAGGTTTAGTGTCTTAGGAAATTACGTTGCAGGAATATTTCTATTCTAAAAATGTTAATTTTCCAGGAATAGCATTACTTGAACATGGCAGCTACTAACTACACTCATAGTGATGATAACAGTAAGTTAGGAAACACCTAATTTTGTGACATGAGGAGCTGAAAAATGTTTTTTCTCATGTTTGTTTCCCTACTATGTGAATTCCCAGTACAAAATGATATCTCTTGCAAGATGCCAGTGCTGGGTTAATGGTTGGACTCAATCTTAGAGATCTTTTCCAGCCTTACTGATTCCATGCTTTCCACAGCACTTTGGATTAGCTTTTCTGTAGTAAAGATTTCATTAATGTTAAGTGCAATTGCTCTTTTATTTTTTACTCTTTGCTGACTGACATGGTTACATTTTTCCCCCAAAATTAATTGTGGAGATGACTGTGTATTTCTGTTTGTTTACCTGCTTCTTCCTTCTCATTTATTATCACTGAAAAAAATAGGTAAATTGTTCGTAGAAGGCCAATACAGTAGTTTAATGAAACTTCAAAGTGTTGAACACAAACAAATTAAGTTGTCAGGAAATTCATTACAGATTTTTAGCAAGAGGCTGGGATAAAACAGCTTACATTGCTGAGCTTATGGAGAGGAAAAGACCTTGATCTGATTTGTCTATGTGGTTTTAAATGAGGATCAGGAGTCACCTGCAATCTCTGTGTGGAATAGGGAATGAAGGCTTTGTACCTTGTTTCTGTGGTTGTTATATGGCTGTGGGCAGGTCAGAGCAGCAAGCCTTTCCCTCTGATCCAGACCTCCAGAAAGGAGCATGGTCCACTTGGGCACAAGCTTTCCTAATTGATCCACTCCACTTTTAAGCCCATTAAGTCACTGAATCTGAGCACAGTAAAACTGTGCTGACATCTTACATGCTGAACAGATGTATTCTGCATCTTACAAAACAAAAGCAGTTTCTGCAAACTGCTGTGTCCTCAGGTCTCATTGACTTTAAAGTGGCATTAAGTGCAGGAGTAATGATGTAGAAATCATTTAGTAAGTATGACATGTAATTTTTACAGTCCGTTAGGAATTTCAGCTGTCCTGACTTCGTTGGAGTGGAGAGAGATGCAGTTCTTTCTTGTATTGTGTGAGGAGTTTTATGTTTTGTACCAGCTTGCTGTTAAGGCATGGATTGTATGAGCTGTGGAAAAGCATGCCATGAGAGGGAGAGTTATTATAGAGACTAAAAGGTAATCTATAGGAACAAAGGGAAGACTGACTGTCAGAAATATGAAATTGCAGCATTCAGGTTCAGGATGATACCAGTGGAAGGGACAAGTATAATGTACTTCCCATTATGACACTCTTAGTATTGTCTTAGGTAGGTAATTGCTGGGATATTGTACCTGTATACGGGCATTTTCTGTCCACCTTCCCTTCTCCCTCAGAAGCCATTGATGAGAATGCAATTCCCACCTTCCAGCAGAATGAACACAGTGAAAATGCTGAGGACATAGGTGCTGCTGAAATACCTCATGTGGCACTGGGACACAAAGCCAGTGCTCCTCTGGATCACAAGAAGCAATGGAATAGGAGCAACAATACAGATAAAAAGTTTAAAATATGACATCTTGGGTCTGGGAGGCATCCTGTGCCATGCAGTATTCCAGGAGGCGGCTGCCTACTCAGGCCCACTCAGGGCCCCTGAACACCAATGGGAAAGAAAACTTGGCAGCCCAGGTTCTTGATGTCAGTTTGCAGGAGGCGTTTGGCAGTGTCATTGCGGCCCAAGCTGATGGTATGGGATAGGGCAGTCTGCAGTCTTCATTTTATCTTGTGGTGATTTTATGATGATGCTCTATTCCCAGATCATCTGCTTTATGCCCAGAAGTGGCTGCTGGAGCTTTGGGGTGGGTCTGGAGCAGTGGTGGGAGCCTTGGGGCTCCTGCGCGGGTTTTGTTCAAGGCACTCTCCCGGTGCGCTCAGCGCGGTGCGTATCACTGGGTGCTTTGTTGCTCAGCCAGATTGGTTTTGTGTTGGCTTAACAAAAAAGCTTATTTTTTCCCCCTTTCCCAGGCCTAGAGAGACTGCAGCAGCAATCCTTCAGCAGCCTTTGGTTGTTTTCTTGAGCTGCTTGGCTTTGTTGTGGTCTGAGGTCAGACAGTCACGAGGAGACCATGGCCAGGACCTGTGGGGAGCCACAGGAACCGCTCTCCCTGGCCCTAGACCTTGGGAAAAGCTGAACCAACACTAGAAAGGGCACCAAAATCCACCAGTTTCATCTGCTGTGAGGGGGAGACCAATGCCAGAAGTTCAGCAGGTTCCCAGCTGTCCCACGCTGCTGTGTGGACTTTTCCCTTCCCTGAGACAAAAAGCCAGTGCCATTTTGTTCCCCCCCACCACATGGCCAGCCAAATTGTTTCTATTCCTGTTTTTTTGTTCTGTGTGGGGGGTAAGTGAGGTTCTGGTGGTTCAATATCTAGCATCTATTAATTTTTTTTCCCGTACCACACAGGCACTTTGTCAATTAACAGTTGGTTTTTTGTACTTTCACCCCCTGGTTTTCATTTTCTCATTGGCAGAAATTGGATTGCTGAAGCCCTTTTTCTTTAGAGGAAACACTCATTCTAGAGCATTTTCTCCTAAACTTGTCTCTAAACTGAGACACATTGTTTTCACTAACAGGAGAAAATACAACATGAAAGTCAAAGTAAGAGGCAAAATGAAGTGAAATGGCACTGCTGCTGTCCTGAGCTACAAAGGTATGTTGGCAAAATATTTAAAAAAAAACCTGTAAGATGTTCTTGCTCTTTAAAAGGGCATCCTCTGAAATGTGTATCTAATTTAAGATGGAAATGCATTGGAAAGAATCCTGAGAAGGGCATATAAACCCTATTTCATAACCTGTAATTGTGCTCTTCAGCTATAAATTGGTATTTACTAAGCTCTAAATGCAAAGTAAGAGCACACTAATAGAAATGCATGTTGCAATCAGATTCTGGAAATCACAGGAAAAATCCATGATCAGGAGTACTTCAAGCTCTGCTTGAACCACTGCCTGTCACTATTTTCGTAATTTCCTCTCTGCTTTTGGTGTCTGGTCAATCCTGATCCTCTCCTTCCCACCCAAAGGAATTTCCAGTCTCTTGCCTGGAGTGTGAAATGCAGCATTTCTCACATGGGACTAGTGGGTGTCTCTCCTCCTCACTGCCGTCCTAGCCAGATGTCTGGAGGTCACCTGGACCTTGCAGATATGTCTTTGCTGCTCCTCTCAGTGGTTGCTGAAGCATGTTTGCATCTTCTTTATGACCCAGTTGCTATCACGCTCCAGAAGCAGTTAGGACTGCAGACTGGTGTTCCCTTTCTCCACTCCTCCCTTAGTCCTTTTTTTGTGCCCTCCAGATACACTGAGCAGAGTGCTGCTGTGTGCTGCAGTCAGGCAGCTGGTTGCTTTTCTAAACCTACATCCCCATTACCTTGTGTCATGTTCCAATTTTTTGGGGGTAATTTTCTTCCATTTGTTATGCCCTATTCCAGCACAAGAGAGATTGTTTGGGGTTTTTGGCAACATTATTGATGTGGACTGGGTGGTGGCTTTTACTATACACAGTAGTGTTGGATGGTATGTCAAAAAAAGACTGTTCATGTGTCCTGACAAATATGCATGAGCTGTGATAGATCAGTAAATACTGGAGATAGTAAGTTAATGTTTTCTTACAGATGGACAGAGAATTTGCTCTAGCATCATTCAAGGGAGTGCTGGCTCATGATTGTAGCTGTAGAGAAGTTTATATTGGTGGCATTCTCAGCAGATCACATGTAAGTATTTTTCTTTTTGTCTTTTGGGGGGTTTTGATGATCAACTGATATTATATACTGCTTGACTCCATCAAAGGACTTTTTGCTCAGTGTACAACTTGCTATTTTTACTTTTTGATTAGTTGTGTGTCTATCACTGACACGGACCTCAGTATGACATATTCCCTACTCTCAGCACAGCTACTTCCTATGTTCTCTGTGCCATTCTCAGGGCTGAGTTTGAATGTATGGCTACAGCTCTGTCAGACTCCCTTTAGCAGTGCAAAACAGTAATGCTGCATGTGTGTGGCAGAGCTGCACAGCTCTGAGAAAACAGCTCAAAAGGAACAAAACCACTCCAGCACTTGCAGCAGTTTCTGCACCCATCACATGATGCGAAATAGCTGTAGCAGATTAAAACCATGAGCTGGACATTGGATAGTTGCAAATTCACCCTTGTGAGGAGGAGGAGGGGTTCAAGGACTGCCTTCATCAGCAGCAGTCCTCATGGCATAGTACCTCAGCATGAGGACAGGCTGCAGCACAATATGAGGGATGCTGCTGCCAAAAGCAAGAGGTGAGTCCTATCTGCCAGCAGCCTCATGGCAATTATCAGGGAGAAATGCTCCTGCCCCATGACAAAACTGAGACAGCTTGCCCCACTTCTGTGGAATGGCTGAAATAACTCCAGAATTACTTTTTAGAGCTCAGTGATAACAAAGTGCATCCCCAGGGGCTAGTAAATGTTATCTGCTTCTTTATAATCAAAGTCAGTTGTTGTATTCTCACCGTCTGTCCCTCCTACTGGGGACGCAGGTACCACAGGGAAGCTCACACCACCTTCTGCTATGCTGAAAAGTATTCATAATCTGTTGTCTTTGTACTTCATAATACTCTGTTCTGGGATCACTCTTGAATTTTAAATGCCTGGATGGGAAAATTTTAAATGCTTATCTTGGATTCTGGCAAAAGTAAGAGAAGACTGTAAGAGAATAAGTAATTTTTTGCCCTCTGTGAGCTGCTGACCAGTGCCTCCAGCAGCTCTTGCTGTACAGGCTGAGCCCCTGCGTGGAGGGAGATGAGTCCTGCAGCCGCCCCATGAGCACTGACTCCTGCATCAGCAGCACCCTCAGCAGTGCTATCCTGTCTGCCTCTGCCTGCTGCCAAGACAGCATTTGCAATTTAGCATTTACTTTCAGCCCCAAACTATCTGTTGACCTTGCAAGAACCAAATTTCCTAATCCAACAAGTGTTTGTTGGCCCACAGTTCATTTAATCCCATCATGGAATGCATTTCTCTTGTCCTGTACTTACCTCTATTTCTGGCAACCGCATGGTGGCTCCAAAATTACTTTAAAGGCTGAAGCTCTTTGGATTGGCTGACTAGTTCAGCCCTATAAGGCTGTTAAAACATGTTATCCTGCATAAAGTGTTTGATGCCTATGCATGCACTGAAAGGAAATGGCAAGCACTGTTCAGCACTGCGAAGGACATGCTGCTGGGAATGCAAATGCAAGGTTAAGAGAGCAAGGCTGCCTGCCATTAGTCATGCTGAAGGAGTCACATTGATAAAGAGTTGAGAAAAAGGCTTTGGATAAGTACAGCATTGTGGGGTGAGGGTGTGAAGAGAGGCAGAGTCCCCAGGCAGGTGCAAATGAGAGATGTTTTATTCAAAAAGCAGACCTTTTAAAGCAGTTAGCCGGTTATCAGCTACATAGTTTTAATTCATAACAAACATCATCCAACCAACCACCATACACCACAATGTGAACATGTAATAGTTATATAATTTGTTTTTCTACCTCTAGTTCAGCTCAGTCACTTTCCCACAGTCCTTTTCTGCTCAGCTGAAGTAGCAGGCCTGAGCCATGATTTTACAAGGCCTTCCTTTTGTAGGGTTTTACTTATATGCAACACAGCATCTTAAAGACATTTGCAGTATTGGGGGAAAACATGTATTTATCATTGTTTGTTCCAGGATAATTCAATTTCTCTCACCTGAAGAAGATTATGGAGTATTTTATGTCTCCTACTATTCTTACTGTTCTATAATTGGGTATAAATAGACAAGTTTGTGGCAAAGGATTTGCTCTGAAATAACCATTAACAGGGAATGTGAGGCTGTTTCTTTGAATCTCAATAATTTCTTTGCTATTATTCTTCTCCACCCCTCTCTCCCACCCAGAAAAAAAGGAAATAAGGGCACTTTAAGTGCAGATAAATTTATTTACATCAAGAAATGGCAACCCGTTTGCTAATGTATTTTCTGTGCATTTTATAATATGGAATAATCCCCTTGTGAGAAGGGATATATCTACATAAAATATGCAGGCACATGTGCACACACTGCTAATATAATAAGCAGCTTTCCTTATAATGTGCACCTATACATGTTGCATTATCTGTAGCATTTTTCTTGTACAAGTGGTGCTGGTAAACTGAAATGATAACCTTAATTTTTTCTTAGGGGATTTTAAATTTTTTAAGATCATTCTTCTTCAAGAAAAATTGCTAAAGGACTGGCATACAGAACCTTTTATAATATGAATATTTAATACTTAAAGGTTAAAAGCAGGAAACACATCAAAAGGTGATTGACAAAAATGTTCTTCAATGGGTTACACACAGGTTGTTACCCTAAATAGCTCAAAAACAGCCTTGCTATTGCAAGGTCTGGAAGTAAATGGGAAAAATGTGCTCTTTCATACCCTTCAGGGGTGGCACAACTAACAAAGCCATTTGGAGTCACTGGACATTTCAAGCATTTCTACAAAAGGGAGTTACAGCACTACCAGCCTTCCTTCCAGGAACTAATAAAACTGACTGCATGTTAAATCATTGCACCTCTCCTGCGCTCTCAGGAGGAGAACAAAATCATGCTGCTGTCAGGTTTATAAAGGCAGATGGGTTGTTATGTGGTGGATAACTCGGGCTCTTGCTGACCTTGCTTACCGAAGGGCAATATCTTTGCAAGGCTGATCTACTTCTAATTGCTTTCTTCACTATCTTAAATATACACACAATTTCCCAGGCAGGCTTCCTAAAGAAATACTTTATTATATATACTTAATTTCTCAGTGGAAAACCCTACACTGCAGTCATGGCTCTGTATTTCTTTATGTTATAAAGAGGAATTTCTGTTGTTGTTGACATGGTGCCTTTGCTGAAGTCTGTCAGACGGTTCTTCTCCAAATCACACAGGATAAACTGGTGACTTTTTTTGGTGCACTGCCTTTCTGGGGATTGAGGCTGAAGTTTCCTTTTGGCATGTAAACCTGCAGATATGAGCATTTATTCTACTATAACACACTGACTGGGTGGCAAAGCCTTCTCAGTCAGGAATCACATCAAGTTCATGGCAAAAAGGGAATCCACTGACACTGTAGGACCTTTTTGAGAAGTTCAATCCATGAAATCCCATAAATTTTCCTTATCTTTTTCACCTGAATATACCTGGATATAAGTGATACGTCCTGGTGCTATCTTTCCATTTCCCCTGAGCTCTGAATTTTTCTCACAGATACTCCAAAGACAGCTCATAGCTTCTTTCCTCTCTGGATCTTTACATGCAGTCTCCACTGTCCAAGTGCATATGCCTCTCATCTCGCTTTCAACCTTCTGCATCCCCCTCTTGGCCTTCCTTCCACCTCCCACTGCCATGGCTTGTTTGAGATCATACCTAATATACTCTGGGCTGGTTTGGTATTTTTCCCATCTGTTGCTTCTATGTCCTAATTTCCTCTTCTCCATCCTTGTTTCCACTTGACTGGTATGGCTTTTTTAATCTTGTCCTTCTCACCAGTGTGAACATTTCGCCTTTGTCTACACTGACAGTACACTCAGTTGTAATGCTGCTTTGATGTTTAAGGAGAGCCCTAAATATAAGTGAGTGTGATTGAGTGGCATGTTACCTTGAATTTATATACTGTAATATAATGCACTAAGGCCACTGTACTATCAAGTCATTAGGAGATGAGTTCTCATACTATGTAAAGAAATGTTTCTTTTAGTTTCAGGAAGTGCAGAGATGTTAGTATCTTGTAGACCAGGGCTTCACTGTGATCACCTGGTTCCTTCTTCAGCAAAACAAGAGGGGAGCAAGGTCATTGTAAACTCTTGAAACCCCTAAACCCCTGTAACAGGTCAGGTTAGGTGCTGACCCTTAGGGGAATCCAAGTAAAGACATAGTTCTGCAATAGAAAAGTATGTTGATGAAGAAGAAGCATCTCTATGGATGTACCACAGAAGGAAAATGATGTTGTCTTGGCATTACAAAAATCCTGGTGAACTGGCTTTAGTCACAGGTAAGGGATTGCCATATTCAATAAAGATGCACAAGCATTTTACCTGAACTCCAAGGAGAATATTGTATGTTTAAAGTAAAAGTACACTGCAGGGTCCAGCAACATTTAACTGAGGCTTAGCTGATCAGAACACAGAGGGTCTCTGTGGCCATCAATCTGTAAATGCAGCAGTTTCTCAGTGGGAAATACACAACAGGAAAGAAAAAAGCTCTACTTGAATACATGGCTTTTTAGTAAGAAAGTGTGTCACCAGCTGGGAGGTACTCTGTTTTACCCTACCAAATCACTTCTTTGTGCCTCCAGCTTGAATTGTTATGTGGAATTTATTACTGATTTCCCCCCTGACCTAATTAGATGACAGTGATAAGTATTCTTTTCTTGCCCTTGCTTGAAGGTGCTGACTCTTTCCTCTCACCACCTTCTCTCCTGTCATCTGGAAATACTATCTTCCCTTCCCCAGCTATTTGCAATTATTCAGCTCTACAGTGAAGTGTTGACAACTCCCAAAATATTGTTTTCACTTGTTATTGGAACTTGTGATAACCCAAAGAGCTCTATTATTTTTGTGCTGATAATGTGTCATTTGGAAAATTTTGCTTTTTAGCTTTAAGCCCTTTATGTATGCTGAAAAGATAGCCCATGAAAATGTAAACTTTACAGAGTCAAACACTAGATAGCATAAATTCAGAAACTAACTGCTCTCTCACCTGAGGCTCAGAATGATGTGGTTTCTCAAGTGTGAGTTCTTGGGACAGTTATTGCAGAACGAGTGAAGCCCTGATGAAGTGGGGGGGGGGGGGGGGGAATGAAAACTGCTTCCCATGTGAGGTTTCTCCAGCCAACACAAATCAAGCAGCCCTTCCTCCTCTCAACACATGTGAGTGCCAGCATTGCTAAGGTATATTCCTGACCATTGTCTCTCTCATCAGCAAAGTCTTGGCTTATTCCCTTTCCCTTGGTAGGTAAAGGATAGATAAGAGATGCTTCACACCTTGCCTAAAATCTAGTACCCTAGCTTGTCCCAGGTTTTCCAGCAGTTGGTAGTAGTTCTTTCATGAGGTGATACAAGCAATTAAATATAAAATTGTGACTATTCACATGTGATTAGCTCAGATATTTTTGTGGTTTGCTTTCCCTAGCCCTGTGAGCACACCTTGTGTGGCAGGAAGCTTGTCCTTGCATCAGGGAGGATATTTCTGGTTTTTTTTTTCAATGGCCAGTTTTCTTTCATCCACAGGGTTGCTGAGGAAAAGCATGGAAAGGGGAGTGCTCACCTGGGCCTTTTGGTAGGCTTATCCTCCACCTGACTATTACTCTCTTTAATTAGCTCAACCTCCTTTCTATGGAGGGCAGAGGATCAGGGATGTGGCATATATTGCAAGTAATTTAGCCTTGCAGTTCTGGCCTGGGCTCGAGAACATGAGAGATGTTTTTCTGGATCCCCTGGGAAACAGCCTGCTCTTGAAAAGGTGGATGTTGGAAGATGAGGGCCTGCAAAATTAAGGAGAAAAAAAAAGCTGGAACAGACCAATGAGAAGGTAAGAACTGAATACTAAGAGTCTGCATGGTAAATGAAAGGAGTAGATGGTAAATGCTTCTATACATGAATACCAAATTTTTTCCAGCAAAAGAAGGAACAACTTAGCATGCGGATAGTAGCTGGTATCTGCCACCTCTGAGAAGCATTATTTTCCTCTCCTCTTCTGTCTGCGAAGCAGCCAGTGAAGATACATAAAAGCTGAGACTACTTGAAGTCCAAGGAATACCTGTCTCTTGTGAGTATCTAAGTAAAAGTATTTAAACAAAAACAGGCGAGCCCTACTTATAGATGCTGTGTAACTCACAACTCTGCTGATCCTTGCCAGACAGGAATAAAGGGAGGACTTTCATTTTATGTTTTTCTTTCAGTTTATTAACTTTAAGTGTGCAAGTGATGATAGTCAGGAAGAAAAGCGAAGTAGGTATTTAGGAGTTTTAAAAGAATCCAGAAAATTAAATTTCTTCATGAAGAATGGAACAAATATTTTCTCAGTAGGGAGAAATACAATGGGGAAGCTTGAGGCTGTTTCTCTAGCTGTGATTGCTGTCTCAGTTATTTGCACAGCAGCAGCTCTTCCGACTGGGGAACAGAAACATGTATGGGAAACCAAACTAAGGTGGCTGAATCCTAGAATGGAAAAGCTGTCTTTTAGTTTCTAAAATGGCTGAATGAATAAAATGAAAAAAATTAATATCTGCTGAAGTACACCAATAAGATTCATGCTGACTTTACAAGAATCTGACTCTTAATTATCCAGAGGAGGGTCTGTACTGAGGATATTAGTCTTTGTGGGGGCTGTACTATTACAGGTGCCTTCAGTGCTATGATGGTGTCACATGTATTTATAAGTAAACATACTTGGTGGTTTTCTTTGCACTTGACCTTGTTTCCCCCAACATCAAATTAATGGTATTTTTTTTCTAGTTGAAAGGTAAAATGCTAATAAATGTGCCTATTTCTAGTTTTAAATCTAAGTAAGTGAAAGTGGAAAGTAATCTGCTCTCAAATGAGAGCAATATTCAATAGTGTCCAAATCAAAAAAACTCCAACCTTAAATCATTTTTTTTTCCTTCTTCCGAGCTTACCGGTGAAAGAGCCATAATAAATCTCTATATTTATAGCAGATATATGTATAAATCTGCCCATTGGATATGTTAAGGAGGAGTTGGGTATATCTCTAAAAAGTATCTTTATCATATACATGCTGGTTATACCTGACTGCAGATGATAAAGGAAAATTATGCAATTTCATTTAAAAAAGCTTATCAAATGTTTGTGGAGAGTACAGGTTTGGGTAGTATTAATCTCTTTAGTAGAGGAGGTTCTCTCCTCACTCTGAGACAGTTTGGCTTGTGAAGAGCAGTATTAGGTGACTTTAGAAACAGCTGCACAACCATAACAAACAGAAATCCATATTAGTTCATATTAAAAGACACAATGGCACTACATGAGATCTGAGAAAATCCCATGTCTTGTGGATTTGGCACGGCAGCATATCAGGCCTTTCAGAAGCCCCAGCTGGATGCACAAAGCGGCATCTCGGGGAGCTGCGACGCACCCCTAGAACTGCCTGTCCCTGTGGTGGGTGCTGCTGCCCAGCACTCTGGGATCCAGCTCTGTTCTCATCCTCAAATCTCTACCTGAGGGGAGCAGGTGTGTGTCCTGATGAGGTATTGATGCTTTTCTTGATTTTCTCTGGAAGGCCTTCATCAGGAACCTGTTCCTTGCGAGCATTACAGGAACAAATCTGTGGGTTTCCAAAAAGAGTCCTTAACTAAAAAGACCTACAAAAAATAAAAGCATCCATAGTATATTGGCTGAACATTTGGGAAAAAGAGATCCTCAGATACCACTATATGTTTTTTGTATTTATCATGCAAACAACATTTTTTATTTAGGTAGACTTCCTAGCTTTTAAAGCACATATGTCATAGGCATAACTCAAATTGCTGTAAATAAAAATCTAGTGAAGAATTGATACTTTAAGTAAAGTTGCAGTTGTATGTTAAAACAAGGGTATTGATGAGATTTTTTTCAAGGAGTCTAGAAGAAATAGACAAGAACTCTATAAAACTTCAGGGGCTTGTGGCTCTTGCAGTTTCTCAGGACTTGTCTGTGGCCCATTCTTGGTTTCCTTGTTGTACCGTTGGCACAATAAAGGCCAGAAAAATTCACGTTCACTGTTGGTTTGTCACTGAAGCTAATAAAAGAGGAGGATGAACTTGAGTAATTGTGATGGAGTAGTGAGCTGCTTATTTTGTATAGTAATGAGATACAGCTGAAAAGAATTTATGTTCCAAATTAGCATGCAGGAAGGTATGGAATGCAAAGCAGCTCTGGTAAAGTAAGTGACTTAAAGCCTCTGACAGCAAATAGTTATTAAATGTTGTCCTCAATAACACAATAACAATGCTCTTTTAGAAACATTTTTATCTTTGTGACATAGGTGGTAGCAGTCCTGAAAGTAGCTGGTAGATCACAGTCAGGAAAGTACAGCTTCCAGAACAGAGACACATGAAAGCAGGGGATCACTATGGACTTTAAAGAGCTTTATCTTAGTGTACTTTTTTAACCAGGATAAACAGATCTGAGGCCAGATAGTCTGTGAATAATATGGGAGACTGCTAAAGAGGTTTAAACATACTTTTGTTTTCAGCTTGAATCTTCAGATGTGGCTGAAGTTTCTGCAAGCTCTGAGGGGTGTAAGCTGTTCCAGCAGTTTCATGAGGCTTCTACTTTCCATTCATTGCTGCATAGAGCTCTTTGGATTCTTTCTTTTGTCCAGGTAATTTAATAGAAGGAAGGTTTGGGCTATTAACTGACAAGGACTGTAGAATGTGGAAAGTGCACCTTCAGTGAAGGAATAAAAAATTTTGTCATAACTAATGCAGAATTGATATTTTGAGGGAAAGAGACTGTTTGAAGAAATAGTTGTTTTCATTTGTATGGTATATATTGGCTTTTAAAGTAACACTACTGAAAACTGAAACAGTACCTACTAAACCAGGGACTGCATAAGTAATTGGCACTTGACAAGCAGTAATTACCAGGAGAAAAAATTATTATAGACCAGGACTTTGTACCTGTGTAAGGCTTCCTTTATTTCAAATTTTTGGTCATGTTTCATGTCTGTTCTTCATTGCCATCCTACCTCCCCATTTATGTTCTCCTCCCTATCACAGAATCCTATGTTGCCATTTGACAGCTCTAATTATAGCAAGGATTCTTATCAGATGCCTGAAAACTGTTATTGAAATGTACTCTGCTCAAGCATTGAGTATTTTTGTAAACTAAAATGGTATAAAATGAATCTTTACAGTTACTTTACTCTTTTCAGTCACCTGTGAAGATACATTAAGCTGTGGAGTGTAGAACCAAGTCAAGGCTTTGATCACGGCGTGTCTCAGGAGCAGTGGAGTGCTTGTTAACTCTGGCTTGTCTCTTGTGTGTAGTTGGAATATTTCCTGTCTTCTTGGGTACAGATTTGGAGTCTGTGGATCTTTGAGGTCAGGTATTTAGACATCTATGTCTTTGTGTCTCTGTAGATTTGATTCTCTTTATTTTTTCTGATTCAATGTAGAAGGTGTGGGTGATATCTGTTCCAACCATCAGTGCACCTTCCATCAGCATTCCTGGGAATGCTGGTTGCTGGAAGTAGCAGTAGAGGCAGTTAAGAAGGGAACTCCTTTGCTCAGCTGTTATGAGCTTGTTTCCTTATGTTAAAGTCCTAGAATGGATTGTACCAAATCATCATAATTTCTCAATAAATTCACTCACAAATGGATGTCAGAGGAACAGGCGTGTATTTGGCTGTTAATGCTGAAGTTAGTGTTCTGCATTTTATCTGATTCAGATTTTTACACATGTAGGAAAAATTAGGCATAATAAGGTGTGTAGAAACAAAGAAGAAATAGTGTTTCAAATGCTGCTGTAATTTGCAATCAATTGGAAAGCATTTAAATACAACAGCTAAAGAGAGGTGTTAAGAAGTAAGTGTTTTGCCCCTGCTGCCTTGACAGCCTTGTTCATAAGTGCTTTGTGCTCATAGTTCTGGGAGCAGGATGCTCGCTAATGTATCCTCTGTCTCTTGGAGTAATGGGAACCATGTGTTCCCTTAGTGCTCTGCCAGATGTTGGCAAGCACTCATGGACCATAGCTGTGTCCCTGCTGCCTGGGCACGCTGCCACTGCTGCATGTTACCTACTTGTACAGTTTTCAGCTGATTGAGGATAGTAATTTGGTTTTGAATATTTTTAGTTTGCTCCCAGTTTCACTTGACCAAGGCTGCCTAAACAAGTTTCATCACATCAGGACAGATGTCTTATACTGATGGCACTGCTTGCATGGTAGAAATTATTTTCCCTTATACCTTCTTAAACTGATGCTGAAATAGCTAATAGTGTTCATTTGACAGATCCCCTGAAGAAGCAGCAGCTCCTTTTGAGATGCCATTCTGCTCAGACCTTCCTGCAAGGGTCTGTGGGCTAATGAGACTTTGAGGAGGCTCCAGGCTGTATTCATCCTCTATATCCTAAATGAAACATTATTATCTTCAAGCCAGTATGGTGAGTTCATTTGTTTCTACTTTCTGACAACTTAGAAGGAAGGATCAAAGTTTGGCTTCTCTCACTGTTGTCCTCCCCACAGACTGATGTTGGAGATGCAAACTTCCTGCTGCCATTCTCCCTCTCCTCCTTTACCTTGCCACTTTTTTCACAATGACTGAATATTATTCCATGTCTTCCATCTCCCAGAAGTTCCCTTGAAATGCTCCTCGAGTTTTGTGAATGGAGAAGGGAGGGAATTGAATTCTACATTTGTTACCTGTGATTGGAACTAATGAGAACTGAGTATCACAGGAGAGATGATGACAGTCTTGGTCTGTGCTATCAGTTACAAGCCTGACCTTTTCTGAGGGCTTTTGTAAAGCAGTTGTCTGTTTTCACTGGGAGCTGTGTGTAGCAAAAAATAGCTGTAACTCAGTCATGCAGATGGTTAGAAAAGCATCAGCTGGGGAAAAAAAAAATCTCCCTCAGAGAAATTTCTTCTTCAATACACCAGGATTTAGGTTTTCTTTTAAATAGTAAGGTTTGTAACATATATATAAGTTTTCAATTGCACCTCAGCCACCTGTATTGATTTATTGGCAGGGAGAAAGGAAAAGCTGCTCTGTGAATTCTAGCATTTGTTTCATGTAGCTGAATACTTTATTCAGGATGCATGGCTTTTCTCACAGGATGTTTATAATTTGATAAGACATTATGAAATGCAAAAGAACATTTCTTTAAAGAAATTAATTTCAAATCAGATTTCCTTATGTGATAATCCAGAGGTGATGTCTTAATTTTATCAATCTAACTCTGAAATTAAGCTTCTGTGTAGTACAGTGAAATCATGGTCTTTCTAGGATTGTTCCAAAGCATCCAGCTGGATTTTAGGG